CCGCCTGCGCCAGAGCGGCGGCCTTGGACTGCTCCGAGCTCTGTTGGGAGTTTGTTCGGTTGGGAGACAACGGATTATTACAACAACAACAACAAACAGATGTGGGATGCTCAGGAGGAGGAGGAGGAGGGCATTACACCGTCGTCGTCATCATCATCATCATCTCATCTCCCAACTATTTCCTCTGCCAACCCGCCTCCCTCCTCCGCTTCCCTTTCCCCACTCCATCCCAAACAAATAAGCCGACAACCAAAACACAGAGAGACACACAGACACACACACACGGGGCTGACCTTCTGCAGCTGTTGAATGCCGAATAAGGCCCCCAGTCCACCCAGCACGGAGGCCCCCACAGAGCCCAGGTTGAAGCCGCCTCCCATGGGGTTTGCTGCGGCGGCGGCGGAGCCGTTGCCACTGCTGCTGCTGCTACTGCCGCCGGAAGCCACCGGCAGCTTCTTAGGACGAGGGCGAGCAGCGCCGCTGGAGGAGGCGGAGCTCGGTTTGGTGGTGGCCGCGGTGGGCTCGGGGGGAGGCGGTGAAGGGGAAGACGATGGCGGGGAGCCCACGGAGGCTGCTTGCGTCTCCACCTTCCCCTGCCGCTTCTTTGCGCGCCGTTCGCGCCGAGCGGCAGCCCGAGCCTCCTTGGACTTCTCCGCGGATGTGGTCTGCATGAACGCATGTGTATATATGAAATATAGAGCTGCGACCAGAGCTTTCCTTTTCTTAGGTGGCAGTTGGGATTGCAAGCAAAGCAGGATATGCGAGACATGGTCCTCAATCGTAACACAAGTCAATTACATGAATTTGAAAGCCGGCAGTTCAGGCCACAACGCTGTGGTCCGGACGGCTTTTGGTTGAATCCGACTCGGCATATCCGCGACGGATGAGCCTTCGGCGACCCTCCAGTCACTTGCGGTCTTAAGACAACGATAGTGATCTTCAGTGAAAAGGGTTAGAAGTTCTAACATGCGGAAAGAGGCAGTTCCGGATGTGGTCGCCGCACAGAACCAATTACGTCCTGACCACAATTGCATTGCGGAACTGAATTTTGCTCACATTACGCCTCTACTTATGTCTTATATGGGTTGGGCGTACCTCTGTTGCTCCCCATACAGCGGGTGTAAGCGTTAAAAGAAATCCAGCGGTAGTCCCAAGCAACCCAAGCCGCCTCGTCGTCTTGGGAGCTGCCTGACCTTCTACATCATCTGAGTTTATCAAACAATGCAAACGCGAAGTCCTGAACCTTGGCTGACACCGAAGCTTGCAGATGACGCGCTTCGCCGCCGCGCCAGGGCGCGGTCCGCTGAGCTTGAGCATCCCAGGTTAGCACAAGGCCAAGAAGAAATCGAAAATCGTTCCAACAGATCGTGGGCTTCTGCCGGAAAGGCTCCACAGCCCCACAAGGTACGACGTAAGGCGGTAAGGCCCAGCCTTTCTTATCCCTGCGAACGTTCCAAGACAGCGGAGCGTGAGCTTGTTCGACCTTGGAGCGGTTGAATTTTACTTCCTTTGTCGAATTTTCATTTGAGATTTGATGTCTGCGCTCGTGGACGAAATGAAAAAGGGCTACAGCCCATAACGGCAACGACATTTTAACAACCAAAATCCTACTACGTTGTACGCTCCGGCCCTTTACAAATTAGGACACCCACGATTTCAAATGGGGGATGTATGGGTGGCTGTGCAGCAATTTTTACGCAGCGATAGCCCCCGGGGGCCCTCGGACTGCACTTCCCCCTTCCCACTTCTTTCGAGCTTTTGCATGTGTGTGTTTCGTCTTGCACCGCCCTGATCACCCATGATCACCCATGATCACCCATGATCGCACCACCACCACCACCACCACCGCCACGACAGCTTCTGCCACCATGCGGTGGTGGCCCACCGCCATGCCGCCCTCCGTCATCTTTCCCTATAGTGCCCCCTCCTCCTCCTCATGACCCTAAATAGTAATAGTAGTACAGCGGCTACAGCGGCTACAGCTGGTTATCATGTGCTGACAGCGCCGCCTCATGTCAATGACGGTAGTGAACGCCGTGTGCGTGTGTTACGTGTGCGTGTGCGTGTAGGTTAGGCTGCGGGAAGGGAGAGGCGGTAGAGGCAGGGTGGCCGCTTTCGGAGCAAACACCCCCCGGGGGCCTTACACGCAACCCTCTCCTCGCAATCAGGCTTTGACATCAGGATTAACCAGTTCGATTGTACGACACTCGTCCTCCATATTGTCCCATTGTAATATGTGACTCTTCCTACATACTTGTTACATTGGTGATATTACAGTCCACAACTGACTGTCGGTCACTTTAAAATCGTAATCTGCTGGAATCCTCCCTCTTCCTGTCACGACGGGGGCATTATCGGTCAATCCGTAAACCATAGACACTTCTTCACATAGATAGAAATGGACCCGTGGACATAAACCTTCCCAAAACTCCCCCGGCCCCCTCTTCCCCCCCGACCACCACCTCTACCACCACCACCACCACCACGAAGCGACCTCAGGGTAATCTACTGACGACGTATAACATCATTACGTGTGTGTGCGGCTGTGTGTGTGTGTGTGTGTGGTGCGTGCGGTGAGGGTTCTGCATATATGAGTCGGGTGAACACACGTCGTAAGCAAAGCAGTAGTTAGCTTCCCTCGACAGCATATGTGTTGTCTGCATAAGCAATACCCTGCAGTACAGAGCAGTACAACATTACAGTGCAGATCAGTGAGGTGCAGCGCAGCCACACCTTCCCAATTAACCAACCCATTAACGCCTAACCACTTAACCAACAACTGGCAACAACAGCGTCGTGGCAAGACACCAAACCCAACAAACAGACAAACAGACAGACAGACACTCACACAAGCCCCGGGCCTTGCAAGCCCAAGCTAGCACTGTTAGCATTTCAAGCGAGCGAGAGCAGCAGCAGCAGCAGTTGTCACCGTCACACCGCCACCATGAGCACCAACCACTACTTACCCCCCCCCCCGCGGGGGCCGTCAGCCCCCAAAAAGCCATAAACGAGAAACCCATGCTGCCACCACCGTCACCATCATGCTGCAACACCTGCAACTCCTCATCCATCAGCTCTCCCCACCACCACCAAAATCATCATCATCATCATCGTAAGGGACCCACACGAGCCCAACAAAGGGACGGTGCGGAAGCAGCAGCTGCTGCTGCTGCTGAGCACTGCGCCAATCCGCCGTTGCCCTCCTCCCTCCAAACAGTACTACTTCTTAAGCTATATAATTACCAACGTTGTCTCTCTCTCATAATCAATTAATGACTTCGGATGTTTTCATTTTTGCGTCCTCCTCCCGTCCCCCCCCCCACACTTTTCCCCCCCTCCCCCCTCCGGCCAAACACAGAGCACCTCAGCACATTCAGGCCAACCAGACGAACACCCCTCGGTACGGCTGTACGGCACATGGCATGGCATGACATCCCCACACAACCACCCAAACAACTAACTGGTGAAGCTTAACCACCCTGTAACAACATCAACTAACCACCAACCACCTCATACACCTCCCCGCCACGGCCGTCCTTCACCATTCATTCACGAACTCATTTCCGCCATCACCATCACCATCCGCGCACAGCTACCACCACCGCCGCCGGCCCCCCAGGACCACCCCCCATCCCCGCGGCCCCTGCGCCCCCTCAGCTACTCCACCCCCCACACTCCCAGTCCACCTAGAACATCATCGTGGTGATGGTGGTGGTGACCGCCCTGAGCAACCCGCTCCCACTCGCCCTTCCCCCTGCTACTGCTACTACAAATATTGCTACTGCCGCTGCTGCTGCTGCTGCTGCTGTCGCACCTAGCGGCATCTGGGCCCCCGTGCGCCCCCGTGCTCCGACCCTCACCGGCACCGAGCTGCTGGTGCTGGTGCTGCTGGTGTTGATAGTGTTGATAGGGGTGGTGTTGATAGTGGTGTTGATAGTGGTAATGTTGGTGGTGATTGACACCATCGTGGTCTTGGGGTTGGGGTTGGTCCTGGAGGTGATGCAGCTGCCTCATCGCCACATTCACCAGGTGCCAGTCGGAGTGCCTGAGGGAGGTGGCGATGACATGTGGGTGTGGGGGAGGGGGGGAGGAGGGGGGGAGGGAAATGAACAATATGATTGACTGTTGGTCCATTGAGGCCGGAGAGGGAGGGAACAGCTACATGGGGAGTTAGAGTAATGAGCCAAGCTCAAGGGGGGAGGAGGAGGAGGAGGAGGAGGAGGAAGAGGATGACCACCCGGATAACACACCCCGCGCACGAGACGGTGGTCTGGTACACTCCCCCTCTTCCCCCCCTTCTCCCTCCCCCCTGGGTGGGCCCGCCCCCCTTTTTCCGGTTCAGCAGCCCCCTCCCCCCACCCTCCCCCCTTTCCCCCGTCCCCCCGGTCCACTGCCCGCCCCCGGGTGACACCGCCCTTCTCCCCGCCGCCGCCTCTTCCCACTCCTGCTCCACTCCCACTCCCCCACCCACCTCTTCTGGAGCTCCATCCGAAGCGCATCCATCCAGCCGCCGCAAGACGAGTGCCGCGACAGCGACCCCTCACCGGAACAAACCCCCTGACCGCCGCCGCCGCCGCTGCCGCCGCCAATCGCCGCCGCCGGCCCCCCTGCCGCCGCCTCCGCCGCCTCCGCCAGCTCCATCGGTAACCGGATGACCACCCGCCGCAGCACCAGACCGCCCACGTAATCGCAATGGCCCGACTGGGCAGCGGCAATCAGAGCTCGCGCGCGGTCCAGAGGGCTCGGAGGCGACTCCTCGGACGACAATGAGCAGCAGCTACCAGGAGAACCCACAGCAGCAGCAGCTACAGCAGCAGCACCACCACCACCACCGTCGACATCAGCTGCTGCAACTCGCACCCCGGTCGCTGTCGCCGCCGGCCTGGCCGTGACATCGCCCCCGGCCCCATTTGCAGCTGCTGCCGTGGTGTGAACGGCCGCCGTTGCGGAGGACTGCATCAACCGGGGGTGGTGGTGGTGGTGGAGAAGATGGTGGTTGAGAAGATGGTGGTGGGTGAAGGATTGCCCTGCCTGCCCTGTCTGGCCCCTCCCCTCCGCCGTACTGTCCCACTCCGGCACCGGCACTGGACCCCCTCCCACGGCGGCGGCAGCGGCGGCGGCGGGCAGCAGCACCTCCGTCGGCCTCGGCTCGCACTGCGGCGCCCCGGATAGCGGTGGCGGTGCTACTGCTGCTGCTGCTACTGGTGCTGGTGCTGCTACTGCTGCACCGACACGCCCCCGACCACCCCGCTGTTCGGCAGTGACGGCAGTGACACCGCCCCTGCCGCGGTCGCTGCTATTCTTGCTGCTACTGCTACTGCTACACGCCCCTACGGGCGCCCCACAACCAGTACAAGCTGCCTGGGCCGACCCGCAAGAGCCTATCGGTTGTCCACAACTCCCCCCCCCACCACCACCAGCAACAGGCCGGGAGTCCCAAGCCGCAGAGGAAAGCAACGTCCCCCTGCTCCCTATCTTGGGTGCCGTACCACAACTGGCGCTACTGCTGGGGGCCGAGCTACTGCTACTGCTACTGCTAGTGGTGGTGGTGGTAGCGGCTGAGCCAGGAGGGCGGCAGCTGCGCCGGTCGCCGTCATACTCGTGTGGGGCCCTGTGTGGGGAGCTGCCGCTGCCGCTGCCGCCAGGAGGGGGGCAGCAGCACCCCGGGCCGCAGCGGCACCCCGCAGAGTCGCAGCTGACCCTCTTGGGGGGCACCCCGGACACCACACACGCGACCACCCTAACACCCCCGCAGGCGCAACCCACCACGCCCTCCCTGCCGCCCGCATGCGGGCCCCGTCCGCCGCCGCCAGGGGGCCAGCTGTCCGCACCGCATCCTCCTTTCGAGGGGGAGGAGCAGCAGCCAGCTCCACTACCCCCCGGAGAGACATCTGTACCGTCTGAGCTGCTAACCGCATGGATTTCCCCCCCCTCTGCTGCCGCTACTGCTACTGCTGTTGCTGCTGCACCCAGCCCGGGTGCTACTGCTGTTGCTGCTGCGCCCAGCCCGGGGCCTCCACTCCCCCCCGGCGGCGGCGGGGCACCCGTCGGGTTCTCAGGAAGACCCGGACCCCCCCCTCCCGCTCCCTCCCCCCCGCGGCGGCGGGGGGGTGCACCACATGTGGCTCCCGACATGGTGCAATGCTGAGCCGGGGCGGACCCCTCCTCCTCCCCCTCCCCTTCCTCCTCCTTCCCCCCAGCCGCCGCTCCAAAGGGCCCTCCGGGGCCTTCCCTCCCTCCACAGCGGGGCATTGCGGGCTGCGCTTCAGCCGGGCTGCAGCAGGGGCTGTGCTGCTTGACCTGCTTGTTCTGCCAACCTCTGAGCAGTGAGGAAGTCGTCCCTTGCCGCTTGGTGGAGGTGGAGAAGATAGAGGAGGCGGCAGACGACAAAGCGGCCGAAATGGCGGTCCAAATTTTGGCCCGCGTGACTGAATAGGCGCAGGCGAGTAACCCAGTTACAATGGATTGTCTCAGAAGTTGGAGATGCACCTGCCGCTGCTGCAGTTGCAGTGGTGATGGTGGGTCCAATGCCACTCCAGGAGTTCCGAGTTGAGCCACGCAGCTAAGGGCAACGGCAAGTACGGTGATGAAGGTGTAGAACACGACGAAGCCCGAGGGAAGCTGCATGCGCGGGAACAGGAAGGGGCGCACAGGAAGGGGCGCAAGGGCAGAAAGTGTGTTTGAACTGCATAACACATGGATGCACTGCATGCCGAGGCGGCGAGGTTCAGCTTGGGAACTGAGCCAGGCAGAGGCTGCTTACCCACAAAGCTGAGGCGATGAGAGGCCCTGTGTAGAGTTCGGGAAGGATGTGATAGGAGTGGGTGGTAAGCCGATGAGGCGCTAGGAAGAGGAGCGCTGTGGGGAGCACGGTGTCGTTCAAAGCTAAGACGGCCAAGTAAACAAGCAGCGTGGTATTGTTCAGCCGTCCACATGACCGTTGCATAGCCCAAGTGATTGCGAAAACGAACGCGGAGCAAGGCGCTATCAGCCTTGGGAGCTCCGCCAAGGGAGCCTTGCGATGGTATCCCACCACCTGCAAAGGCTGGCCGAGAAGGTGCCAAAATTGCATTGCAGAAGATGCCTGACATGGATACTCGACGAAATGCTGCTGCAGGATGGCCGAGACGTAGGCATGCGCCAGCTCTTCAACCCCCTCTGCAGGCTCCTGTCCCTTGTTGGAACAAACGGTGGACCGCAAGCATTTTCCAACATGGCTAAATAGCTCCACAAAGCACGAAAAGGTGACGAACAACGCTGCGTTTTCAAGCACTGGCTCTGGGCATGCTTTTTTATGTTTGTTACGCTTCATGGCCATGTGTCATGGGAATATACTGGGGGTGATGGAGGTCTGCTGGCTAAAAGCCTAAACATAGACATGACGTCTGGTTGCAAGCGGTACGACGAAATGCGTCTTTAACAGTGCTCCGGGTTTCCATTGCTATAATCATCGGGTATTTCTGGTGAAGCAGCTGAGCTGTGTTTATTTCGGTTTCGTCGGGTGCGGCCGTACGGTGGCGGTAGTGGCTTGCCGTGCATAACGTGCGCGACGGAGAATGGTAGTGTGCACGCGGCAGTCTGCAGCATAGGAGGCGCCGGTGTATGTGTGTGTATGTGTGTGTATGTATGTGGAAGTGTTACGTGTGTGGTTGGAAGCCAGCAGTGTGGATAGGGACAGCTTGTTCAGACGGCCGGACGCACGCCACATCCGTTTACACACCCGTCGAAGTAGGTGGAAGGAAATGCACTGCGGCCGTATTGCACTGTGTCGACGACACAAAGTTTTTTTGTAGAACTGCGGTCCACTTTAGGGCACGCGGTTGTGCAGTGAGCTGCGGGGATGTAGGCAGCTGCAGGTCTTTAGGCACCAAAACAAGTGATTATGTAAGCAACTGCACGACGTTACAGGGCTCCGCTCGGGTCGGATGCTGCTCCTCCCTCTCTCCCTCTCCCTCCCTCCCTACCCCCTTCCCTCCCTCCGTCAAGCCCATACAAGGGCTGCCTGCACCACTTATCCGCAAAGCAGGTGCAGGAGGGCCGTGTGGGGCCGTGTGGGCAGCCAGCCCTGTCCATGATGACAACATGCGCTGCGCACCCCGCGCTGCTCGTCCAACACCCGGCCTGGCAGTGTACGTTGGAGGACGACCCTCAGATACATACATACATACATACGTACACCTTCACGTGTGCCCCCTTGATGCTCGGCCCCCACCCCCACCCCACCCTTGGCACCTCCCCCCGGCTGACTTATATCACGTGTGTATATGCACCTGCACCTGCACCAGGTGGGCTGGTGGGTGGGCGGGCACCGCCTCACCTATAGTTATTCAGTACCCGCCCTCGGAGGCGGCGAAGGGGGGTGGAGGTGGAGGTGGAGGTGAAGGGTGCTAGAGATAGACCGCTGAGCAGCAACAGCATCCGCAGAAGGTGGTGGTGGTGGTGATGGTGGGCCGATGTGCGGCGGCGTGCGTTCGACCAAGGGGATGCGGGGGGTGGGTGGGTGGGTGGGGGTTGGCACGTGCGCGTCTATATGTGTTTTGCACGCCGCGGTGGCCGCCTGTCCGTCGGTCCTTCACACCCTCCATCCACACGACCACCGCCATCACGGGCACTTCCTGTTGATGAGCGGAGCCCCGTGTTCCGCGTACTCCTTGCGCGACATCCACAGCTGCTGGAAGGAGCCCAGACTGGACAAGATGGAGCCGCCTGAAGGGGGGGGGGAGGGGGGAGGGGGGAAGGGGGGGGAAAGGGGGAGGAAAGGGGGAAAAGACGAACCACGAGCGAGTGAAGGTGATGCCAAGGAAAGACTGATGTGCCAAGTAAAGAAGGCACAACTAACCAGTCGGCGCAGGGAAAGGGGGGAGGGGGGAAAGGGTGGGGGGTTCCGGGGGTCTCCAGGGAATCCAAACCCCAGCCCCCTCCCCCAACACACCTCTCCCCCGCCACCTCTCCCCCCCCCTCTCACCAATCCAAGTGCTTAATCGTCTCTCTAGACTGTTCGCCGCTGCCACCATCTTGACCTTGGCCGCCGGGGGGGACAGCTCCGAGAGCTCCTTCTCCAGACGCTCCTTCAAACCCGGGATGAGGGAGGTGCCGCCTGCGGGGGTGGGGGGGTGGGGGGGTGGGGCGGGGCGGGGGGGGGAGGAGAGAGGTAAGGGGCAGGGGCCCCGCCAGCTGGTAATGCGGCTCTTACGGCTCTTGATGGCCTCATGTTGGTTGGTTGCTCCGGTCGCAGGTCATCAAGGTCATCATGCAAAAGGCAACTCAAAACGCGAGGGGGCGACGGGGGCTGCCGGCGGATGGACCCCTCCTCCCGCTCAGATCGGGTGGTGTGAGGTGTGAGGTGTTCATCATGATGGTGCTGCACGGGGCTCCCTCCCCCTTGCACGTCCCTCCCTCCCTCCTGGTAGTAGGCTTTCCTGGTAAAGTCCGGTCCGATGTAATCTTCAGCTTCATCTTCGTCAACTACTTCCCTGCCCCCTGCCCCGGCCCCACGGCCCTCGCTCCCTCCCCCTTCCCCAGACACACTGCCTCATACTGCCCAAACACACTCCCCTCCCCCCCCCCTTCCCCCCCCTCCCCTCACCAGCCAGTATGGCTCCCGAGTACATGTCCTTACGGAGGTCCACATCGCACTTGTTGACCGCGTCAATCACCGTCTCTGGAAAGGCGGGAGTTGCGGGCAGGGGGGGAGGGGGCGGAGAAGCACATGTGGCTATGTGTTGTGTGTGGTGAATAAAGTCCTGTGTCTGGGCCGGTGGTGGTGCAGGTGGTGGTGCAGGTGGTGGTGCAGGTGGTGGTGCAGGTGGCCGGGCATTCCATACCGCACCACCACCACCTGCTGAGGGTGCCCCCAGCTGCCCCCACTAAAAGAGTGAAGGGAGGAAGAGGAACCCATATCGCATATTCGCATGTGGCTATGCAGGCGTTGATGCGAAATCGGATCCATTCGTACACTGGTGTCCTCCATTCCCGGGCCCCCCCCACCCTACCCGCCCCTACCCCCCACACACACCTGGAACGGAGCGGACGTCCGGGGGCAGCGCCAGGCCCGGGAAGTGGCTGATGAAGGTCTGGACGGGGGTGTGTCGGGTGGGGTGGGGTGGGGATGGGTGTTAGATACGAACTGACTACAGACAACGGCGACAGCGAGGATAATAATACTCTAATAGAGAAACCGGGAGGAAGAGAGAGAGAGGGGGTGCGGAGGGGACAGAAGGGGGGAGAGAGAGAGGGTAAAACCCATCATCAGGGTTCTCCCCCTTTCCGCCACCATCCTGCCCCCACGATTACACAAACACACACACACATACCACCACAGCTTCCTCCTTCTCCCGCGTCCCCCACCCTTCCTATCGCAGTTCTCAACCCACCGCCGGCTGGAAGAACAGCTCCGTCATTCGGAAGCGCTCCGGGCCCAGGTAGAGCTCCTGGCCATCGGGTAGCTGCGGGGGTTGGCGGGGGGTTGGCGGGGTTGGCGGGGTTGGCGGGGGCGGGGGGACGGAGGGCGAAACACACGATCAGCATCACGATACCGGGGCGGCGGGGGGGGGGACACTCCCTCGGTCGCCATTCATTCATTCAGGGTTTTGCAGCAGTTGAAATTTTGTTGTTAATACTTCCGTAGGGTTGCGGCATTAACTGTCAACATTAGCTAGTTGGTTAGTTCGTTAGTTAGCTCGTTAGGGCTTCTTTGTAATCCGCCTATGTCGCCGCCACATCACCACCACCACCACCACCATCACCATCACCACCACCACCACCACCACCACCATCACCATCACCACCACCATCACCACCACCACCACCATCACCACCACCACCACCACCACCACCATCACCATCACCATCACCATCACCATCACCACCACCATCACCATCACCATCACCACCACCACCACCACCACCATCACCACCACCACCACCACCACCACCACCATCACCACCACCACAACGCGGCAAAGTGGCGAGTGGCCCACCGAGAGCCCCCCAGCCCCCCAGCCTTCCATCCCACCCACCCCCCACATGGCCCCCCTAAAGTCGTCGTACACACCCAGCTCCCCACACGCACCTCGTACACGACTGTGGGCACTGGGTTGACCCCCTCCGCCTCGAAGAACCTGGTCTCGCTGGTACGGCACACGCCCTCCTTCAAGTCGGATGCCACCTGCTCTAGGTGGTACATGCGGAAGCTGTTGGTGACGCCGCTGATGTCCTGGGGCACCACCTGGAGAGGGGAGGGGGGGAGGGGGACGTGTGTGTGTTTGTGTTTGTGTTTGTGTGTGTTTGTGTGTGTGTCGGGGGGGGCCGATGGGAGGGTTTGGGTGGGTCGGGCGGGGGGATGAGGAGGGGGGGACGGAGGCGGCGATATGGACCAAGGTGGTGGTGGTGGTGGGGAGAGGGAGGGCGAAGGGAAGGGAAGGCCTATCAGGGTTTAATGATAGGAGAAGCGAGGAGAGCGCGGGGGGCCGAGGAGGAGGGA